GCGACTCCTAATCGTTTAATCCAAGTCGAAGCCCAAATCCGGACGCACCCGAAAGACAGTTACGACACCTGGATACCAAACTATACAGAGTCCCCGCATCAAGCACAGACTGCCAAAACCGTTGGCTAGTAAGATTTTGTTGCCCGTGAAGAAAACGTCTCCGCATCTGGTTCAATTTTGCTCGGTGCTGATTTAGCTTTTCATCCATCCTCTTCATCCTCTTCCATTCTGATTTCTTTTTATTCAACCTAGGGATGTGTAAAAATATCCGATCTGTTAATCTGGTGGATCCAATCCAAAAATTTGGTCATTCCATCCAATTTTTTATTTCGAATAATTTGGATCGGATATTCCTTTAAAAATTCGGATAACCGGATCGAATATGATCAAAAAACTCTTGATTTCGAATTATCAGAAAATTAAATAGGCTCCCTAGACCCAAGCTGCAATCTCCTCTCACCAACCCATTATTAGTAACCAAAATCCAAGTCTTTTTCGAGGGAATTTCTCCAACCCATCATGAGTGAGCAACCAAAACACTGTGTTAAACTTCCCTTTGCCTTGCAATTTTTATGTACTTTTTTTATAAAATATTGACTGTACTTGTGGATTTACAGGGGAAGGGAGTGGAACCAACCAACACAATCTCGTAGTGGACATATGCAAACCATTCCTCGAAATCAAATATCCAGGAGGCACACCCATGGCATGGGTTGTTCTGAAGGTCTTTAGTAGGATTAAGGAATTAATGTATCTACTCGACGTTATCAGACTCTCTCAAAGTCGAAAAGACATGCACCCAATCGCTTACAGTGGTCTTCACAACGGCACCGACTGTTAGGGGTGTTAATTTTTTGGTTTTAACTGAATTAACCGATCGAACCGAATTTATTCGGTTAATTCGGCCGGTTATCGAATTAGTTCGGTAGGTGAACGGTTAATAATTTTTTTAGAATTTAGTTAACGGTTAATTCGGTTCGAAATAAGTTAATTAACCGAAATTAAATTTTAAATTTTAAATATATTATATATAATATATGGGCTCAGGTCAAATTATTTAAAACCCAATTAATAATTTAAGATCTAATAATTTTTAAATCTAAATTAATATTAATTAATTAAAAAATTCATATAAAATTTTTATTTTATAATTATATATTATTTAAATTAATTGTAAATTGTTTTTTTGAATTAAAAATATTCCATTTTTATATAATTTAAAAAAATTTAAAAAATTTCGGTTAATTAGAAAATTAACCGAATTAACCAAAATTTATTCGGTTCGGTTAATATTTTCAAAAAAAAGTTTAGTTTGGTTAACGGTTAAAGAAATTTTTTTTTGATTAATTCGGTTAATGGTAATTCGATTCGATCGACCATCGTTTTAATCGAATGAACACCCCTACGGACTGTAGCTATTGGCGTCTTCCATGTTTGCTGGTTACTTGGAACCATATATTATTTGTAGCTCTTTTTAGTTAAAAATGCAATGGAAGCTTCTTCGGCCATTATTTTTTAGTTGAAAATTATTTTTAATTCTGTTAGAATGAATAATACAAAGGTATCTTCTCCATAATAACTAAACAAAATCAATATATTCGGATAGAATATTTAGATATCCTATCTTCAAATTAGATTTGAATCACTTTTTTTACTATTCAAAATTTTAGATATTTGAATTTTCAAATCGAATTTGACTTCTACTATTAACCCTAAAATTTGTACTATAAAACATTTATAAATAATTTATTTATTTAAAACTGAGTGCAATTAATGAGGTGAAAGTGGTCCAGTCTAGTCGAGTCCATGAAGCTTTCAATGCGTCAAGACATTTCGTTTCGATAAGCCAAAGAGCAAACAGGGTTGGCAGGCTGCAGCCTTAGCTCGAAAACGTAAACTCACTTGTGATTGTGCGCCGACTCTGTGATTTTCCTTCTCCTTCACGACAAAACTCTCCTCAGTTAGGGTAAATTACATAAATAATTCCTATTATAAAGCTATATTTGATTGAATCTCTTATCTAATAAAAATTATAAAATAGTCTTTTTATTATAATATATTTTATTGAGTCACTCGATTATTAAAAATTATAAAATAATCATCTAACTATTTATACATTCTAAACTCATCATTTTTTTATAAAAAAATTAATGGTTGTTTGAGTTGGACGTTAACATGTTGACTGTAGGATATGATAGTCGTTTGAGATTCTAGAATCAAATTTTATCATATCTCATTCAGTAAGTTAACGTCCAGCTTAGATTGCAGTCAAAATTTTTATAGAAAAAAAAAATGAATTTAGAACATATGAATAATCAAGTGACCATTTTATATATTTTAATAATCGAATGACTCAACAAAATAGTATCTATAATTAAAAGATCATTTTGTAACTTTTAAAAATTAGGAGAGTCAACAAACTAATTTCATATAATTAGGGGATCATTTGTGTATTTTACCTTACTTTTTACTTTTTTTTAAAGAATTTTGCCTTGACTAATTTGGGTTGATACGTATCGCACACTTGATTTTGTTGAGTGAATATTTTAATACAAATTTTATACATACACAAAAACTCGAACTCGATATCTTATTTAAACAATATCAAACTATTTACTAGTTAAATTAATAACCGTAAATACTTTTTAAACCTTCCAAAACATCGTCAATAAGATGTCGATTTTCTACCTTCCAAAACCCACTATTATAAATACCTAAATCACGTCGGTCGATGACTAACATGAATCCATCAATCCCCGAACCTAAAAAATCCACCGAAGTCTAAGGGCACTTTCGTAATGTTATTTATAGTTTTCAACACTGTTCCTCTTTAACGTCTAGGTCGTGTCCCCGTTACTACACACTTGTGACCTTGCAACTCATTTCTTTGATTTAATGTAAAAATAAGTGTATTAAGAACATATCAACTAATATTTTAATACGTAAAGAATTTTTTGTTAAAATTAAATGTTTTAATTTTTTTAATTATATTTTTTTTGTCTACCGTTAAAAAAATTCGTTAAGTGACAAGTGTGATGTTTAAATTTTTTTTAAAAATAAAATATTTTTTAAAATAAAATATTTTTTACAAAAGTCTAAACATGACACGTGTTATTTAACTATTTTTTAATGGTAGCACCTAATAGTATAACAAAAAAACTTTAGACATCATTTTATCGAAAATTCTTTAGCACTAAAAATTAATTTTAATTATAGTTTAGGTACTTATTTTTATATTAAATTTATTTCTTTTCATTGTCTAAGTCGAAGTTAAAATATAATTTTAAATAAAATTGTAGTGAAAATTTTAATATATTATAAATATTATTACTTAAAATATTATTATTATCTTATTTTTTAGAAATAATTAAAAAACAAAGTTTATAAATTTAAATATACTATTTTTACATAAAATATTTTTATTTGATAAGTTTGTTGTAAAATCTAGTTTTAGATATGTTTTTAATTAGAATAATGTCATTGCTCACGTTACAAATAATGAAAATTACAGTTTAGTTTCACAAGCAAAAATTTATTGCCGTCAGCATAGATACGTTATACAGCGTTCAGATGCCAAAGGTTGTTCTTTCAAATCTTATAGTATCAAAACCTTAAAATTCTTTCCATTTCTATCTCAGCCTTTCCTTTCATTCCTTTTTGTTGAAATAAACGTTTAGAATAAATAATTATTTATCCGTACAAATTTGAGCTCGCTTGTCTCTAGTGTTGCCAAAATGATCTGGAAGAAGAAGAAAATGCTATTTAAAACAAGTATAAATTATTAAAATGGAAACAAATAGGTAACTATCTCGTATCTGGATATGAAACCCTTTTAGATTGTCATGATTTTTCACTTCCAACCGAATGTTCTTTTTTCCCCCTGTTATATTCAGAGTTAGCTTTGCTTCCTTTTTGTCAAAGGTAATCTGGGTTTTGTTCTAAAAACAATTTTGTGGATGTTTGGTTGTTGATTATCGAGGTAGCTGGTCATGCTTTGCTTTGCATATCGTATTTTTTTAATGTTTCTATCTATGCTGTTTTGTTTGCTTTGCTATTTTGTTCAGAAAATTGGCATTTGGCGAGCCTTGATTATTAAAATGAGGTTGTTGGGGGCTCGGGTGATATTCATGATCCTTTCTGGTTTAAAATACGAGCTTCTGTTGTATTTTGGAGGGATTTTTTTTATTGTGTCGTTATAGGTTTCGTTTTCTGCAAAAGATAATAGAAAAAGAAATTGTGCTGTTAGCTGATAATTCTGGTTGTTATTGTTGTTTTCCTGCATTTCCAGGTCATATACACATGCCTCTGATATTTCCTCTTTTTAACCAATGAGGCTTAAGTTTTAAAGTAGTAATCTAAATTTTATCTTTTTACAATATTTTTTCCAGGAATTTGAACTAGGCTTGTTGCTTGAAAAGGGTGCTGTTTCTTCTTCTTCTATCTACAGCTTCAAATCTGATGCATTTTGTTAGCTGTGAACATTTCAAGTGTCAAATCCTTCTAAAAGAAAGCTGCTGGCTTACAACGCATTGTGGTTTGGTCTTCTTTCTGTGAACTGAACAAGAAGAAAAGGGGGAACACAGCTTATTTTTACTTTTATAGCTGTTACTTTCACTGGGTTGACACGATGATTTGAATCCCATTCAGAAAAGAAAGGGAAAGCGGGTTCTTTTGCATTGATTCACCTTTTGGGAGTGCTGTCGTTTTGCAGTTTCAGTGTTACTTTCTTGTTTTAGTGACAAAAAGGTTGGCTAGATCTTCATCAAATTTGGAATCACTAGTGGAATATACATACTAAGTGGCCCTTGAAAAGTTGGAAATTTTTAGAGAGTGAGCGAATTTGTGAGTTCACGTGAATCAGTGAAAAGGGTGTTGTATTAAATTCCGGTATCTCTCTGTCTCAGCAGATTATCTGGAATGAAATAGTTAGCCATGTTGATGGCACATGCCCTTGAATCCAATATGGTGGGGGCAGATCAATAATGCAAGAAACGAATTCTGGGTGGCAAATTAGTGAAGAACAGAAGGGAAAAAACTGGGTTGGATATGGCCAAGAAAGTTGTGGTTGCTGTTAAAGCATCCAAAGAAATTCCCAAGACTGCTCTGGTGTGGGCATTATCTCATGTTGTTCAACCCGGAGACTGCATTACGTTGCTTGTTGTTCCTTCACATTGTTCAGGTGTTTCTTTTTTCTTGTTTTGTGTTATTGCTTTTGCATATCTACCTACGACATTTTAGGATCCTTCTCCTGCTGATGGTAATTTGATTTTTTTTTGGGCCATAGGAAGTGCCTGAGGCTTATACTCATAGTTAGAAACGATTATGGTGTTAACTCCTGACAAATCCTCTAACTTCATTTTTTCCCCCAAATTCCTGCCTGATGGTTAAATGCCACAATTCTCCAGCTAGAAAATGGCCTTTTCCAAGATTTTCTGGTGACTGCGCCAGCAGTAGCGGCAAGTCCGAAACAGGATCAAGTTCGGAACAAAATTCTGGAATTGGTGATTCCTTCTCCCAAATGATCCTCCGGCTCCACGATGTTTATGATCCCAACAAGGTAAATACCTGGCTCTGAGTGCTTGATTATTATGTATTGCTTTTTTGTAAATGTCATTGCCTGCTAATGCTTCGATTCTGAATTTCATTGCACAGATTAATGTCAAGATAAAAATTGTTTCTGGATCATCATGTGGAGCTGTAGCTGCAGAAGCTAAGCAAGCTCAAGCTAGTTGGGTTGTATTGGACAAGTAGCAAACGTCCTGTTATCTTTGTAAATGTCATTGCCTGCTAATGCTTCGATTCTTAATTTCATTGAACACTTTTTTACAGGCAGCTCAAACACGAGGAAAAGCGCTGCAGGGAGGAGTTGCAATGCAACATAGTGATCATGAAGCGTTCTCAGGCGAAAGTGCTGCGCTTAAATTTGGTTGGGGCATCTGAGCAGGAAGCTGAAGCTTGTCAATTAAGTCCTGAGACAGATGAATCATCTGAAAAGCATCCAGAAAACAAAAATGAATCAGGGCCAGTTGTCACTTCAACCAGCAGTCCGGAGCTTGGGACGTCGTTCACTTGTACTGAAGCAGGAACTTCTTCAGTGTCTAGCTCTGATGCAGGCATTTCACCTTTTTGCACCTCAGAAAGGAATGCAGACTCAAAGAAAGAGGAATCACTAGTCATCAAGGAAAACCAGGATTTTAATGAATCTATTTCAGACACAGAGTGTGAAAATTTATCCTTATCTTCAATGAGTTTGAGGTATCAACCTTGGATAGCCGAATATCTTACTTCTCATCATCAGTCCTCGCTATACCTCGAGCAACCTTCTGGTCGAGCTAATGTCAAGGCTCAAGCTTCAACAACAAAAGCCTTACTGGAGAAACTTTCAAAACTTGATAGAGAAGCTGGAATTGGGTTGTCAAACTTTAAGAGTGATATTGAATTTAGTGGAAATGTGAGAGAAGCAGTTGCATTATCCAGAAATTCCCCTCCCGGCCCTCCTCCATTGTGTTCCATATGTCAGCATAAGGCACCTGGATTTGGAAAACCACCAAGGTGGTTTACCCATGCTGAATTGGAGCTTGCAACTGGTGGGTTTTCCCAAGCTAATTTCTTGGCTGAGGGAGGGTTTGGATCCGTTTATAGAGGAGTACTACCAGACGGACAGGCAGTTGCCGTCAAGCAACACAAATTGGCTAGTACTCAAGGGGATCATGAATTTTGCTCGGAAGTTGAAGTCCTCAGCTGTGCTCAGCACAGAAATGTTGTTATGCTGATTGGATTCTGCATTGAGGATAGAAGACGGCTGTTAGTTTATGAATACATATGCAATGGATCTTTAGATTCTCATCTATATGGTATTTCACCGATCTCTAGCTCACTGCTCTTTGCATGTAATGATCTTTGGTGTGCACCTGTGGTTGATGTAGTTTTGAATGTTGCACAAATTTGATGTGTTTCAGGGCATCATCAGGAACCGTTGGAATGGTATGTGCGGCAAAAGATTGCTGCGGGAGCTGCTAGAGGTCTGAGATACCTTCATGAAGAATGCAGAGTTGGCTGCATTGTGCACCGTGACATGCGGCCCAACAATATTCTCATTACCCATGATTTTGAACCATTGGTAGGCAAACTTTTAACTCTTCAGCATGCTTAAACTTCGTATCTACATGTTAAAGGATCTTTATTCTTCATTTCTTGCATTGGCATTTGGGAGAATCCTTTCTTTTCTTTGGTGCTAGTAAAACATTATAAATGCACCAAAACCATTGGATTCAAATTTTGTGCATTGGCATTAAACTTCCGATATATCTTATCAGTTAGTTTCTATAACTGAATCTTTTATAGTTAGCATATAGTTGTACATGCAAGTATTGATTCAGATTTGTTTTGCCAGGTTGGTGATTTTGGCCTTGCAAGATGGCAGCCTGATGGTGATGCTGGAGTGGAAACAAGAGTGATTGGAACATTTGGGTGAACTTGAATGACAACTTTGTTTTTCACAATTTACCCGACTTATGCAATTGATGAAATTAGTAATGGTTTATGGTGTGGCATAGGTATCTGGCACCAGAATATGCTGAAACTGGCCAAATTACCGAAAAAGCTGATGTTTATTCCTTTGGAGTGGTGTTAGTTGAACTCGTTACGGGACGAAAAGTTGTAGACCTTAGTAGGCCAAAAGGCCAGCAATGTCTAACTGAATGGGTATAGGTTCAAACACTCATTCAACATCTTTCTGCAAATCACTAGTTCGAGCGTTTATTCTCTTCTTCTGTGCAACTCTAAGAACAATCTATGAATATCAGTTTATTCTCTTCTCGGCCGTGTAGATTTGCTGTTTCTTTTTTTGCTTATTTCTTATTTTGTGGTCTTGAATAGGCCCGTTCACTTCTAGAAGAATATGCTATAGATGAATTGGTAGACCCAAGATTGGAGGATCGCTACTCTGAGCGTGAAGTCTATCGCATGCTTCATGCCGCATCGTTATGCATAAGGCGGGATCCTCATTCTAGGCCTCGAATGACACAGGTAATGAGAAACGGTTGTAGAGAAGAGTTTAATTTGTTTTACCTTCAGTTTTTTTTTTTAATTTTTTAAAGCCACTGCCGAATAGGTTACATAATATTTTTCTGGGTCATTCAATGTTGTTCTGGATCAGGTGCTCCGTATATTGGAAGGCGACATGCTTATGGACACAAATTACGGATATGACATTGGCCACTGCAGTGGCCAGATAGGATCCTTGGCAAATGAGGTGTTAGAAGATTTCAGTGGGAAGCTCTCCCCTGACGGGCTAAGGTCTTGAACCAGGAGGACTTCATGTGCAGCAGATCATTTGTAAAACCCTCATTTTCCGGCCTTCCTTACACGCATGGTACACTTATCTATATATCTATTTATCTATACCCATTTGTATATTGGAAGCAAGGGGTAGTAGGGTTTTTGTATTTCTTTTTGGAAATGCTGATTTTCAAAGCTGAATGAGGCAGATCAGTTGAGAAATATGATTGTTTTCCATCTCTATATTATATATTCCTTCATCAGCCTACAATCTAATATCCCTCTACTTTGTTCAAGATTCACAAACAGATACAAATTGGGTTTAGAATCGAATATTTATCATTCTTAAATATATGTAAAAGTGTAAAACAAGAGGTGCAAAATCTTATTGTCTTCAATTGGTAACAGAACCTTTGACGGACGATGATAAACTCTAAAGAGAATTTCTTGATCACTTGTGTTTTTTTATTAACATAGAATACTTATATTATCTCGTATGAAAGGAGAAATAAAAGGCGTTTTAAATTAACAAATAATTGTAATTGAGCTTGTGTGGTCAATTAAAAATTTGATTCTGAAATCTAGTTAAATTCTCAACTTTGGATAACACGATTTTATGTTAAATTCATTCTGAAATCTACTTAAAGATCAAATCCACTTTAATATAGCTTCTACACAACTGGAAGTGGGCTGCTGTGAGGCCTAAATCCACCGCCGATCATGGGTGGGGCTGCCACACGAGATCCGCATGGGCGCAATTATTCACAGAAAATACTCACCTTATGATTAAGCATCACAAACTCCATGATTTCATTCATTACGCTATAATATTTAAAACTATATTGCCTTTCTCTTTTGCAAACATTATGACGACCATCTTGATTCCTAACTAAGCATCGGATTCTATTGTTGGTGAATCTCATTATTTGGGATCAATACTATAATCCCCATTTTTTTTTTTACTTTTATCATATTACAAAACCATATTTGGACTTTGTCCAAAAAGCTTCCCCCCACCACCGCACGTGTGCACTATGTTCGGCTTTAAAAACATTTTATTCATGGCTTGATGTTGAGGTTAACGAGGGAGGATGGGTCCTTTCCACCCAAACCGGCATCCTCTTCTTCATTCTTACTGTTGGAAAGTTTATTATTGTATCTTCTTCCGCCACCCATCTTCACATTTTTAATTAACATTAGGTGTGATGAGACCAAGATCATGCCTTCAATTATTCTTATTCTCCTATGAAAAGGCCAACCCTAGCTAGTGAAAATACTCTAAAATTAATTCAGGTGTCCTGTTATAGCATCTTTCTTGTAGTATGTGCTGGTCTTTGATTCTATGGGCATTAATATAATCAATAATGTTATCTAAGACAATGTGATGTCTTTGTCCTGTGCATCATGATGACCCCCCCCCCCCAAATGTCTATTAGTTCAATGCTTAAAAGGAGAAAGAAATTAATTATTACAAGATGTGTCTCTTACTTGCCATCTCCATGGATTAAACTGATAAGGACAATCATAGTGATTTTCACTGAGATGGATGGATCTAAAATAAGCAAAAAAGCACAATCCTTTAGGTATCAGATACCCTTTAGTCTCAATGTCTTTCATGGCCTCTCATCACCCCTATTATCACGTTTCCCATCCTTGGAGTCTCTGTTATAACCTACTTGAAGCAATATATAATCAATCCAAATTAATCCTCTATTAGAAAGCTACATATAAAATTAATTTTATCTGTTGAATTACTTACACTCTGTGTAAAAAATAATGATAAGTAATCATTCCAAATCAATGGCTCCCCGTTTTGAGCTTTGAGCCTTTTCAACTTCAAGTTCTCCTCCTAAGAAATGGTAATTGGAGGTGATATTAATATAATATAAAGTTTGGTCTTTGATACCTATCATAGAATATTTCGTACCGTCAATTGATGTAACGCAGCCGGACAATCCGAAAGGTATCTGATAGCGAGAGTCATTAAAACAGGCACTGAATCTTCACCGGGAATCATCATATCGATCATGTTACCAGCTATTAGATCGTCTGTTAATAGTTCACTAGAGTCCATGAGCAAAACATCAACGACATCTCGTGGAACCATTGGACTCGTGCTTGAATTCCTTCTAGATTGGATGATTCTGTGTACAATCTTAACCATGCTCATCTTTGCCTGAAATTGTCAATTTTTTTCAACAGTTTTGCCTCACCAGTCCCCATCATCAAGTGATTTTGTATATAAACAACTGAATTTGAACATGCAACTTGCCTGTAAAGATCGATAAAGTTGAGTTCCAGGTACTTTTACAGGTAAAGACATAAGGCCTGAGATAAATTGTTGGAACTGTTTCTTGAGAACTTCCATTTCTTCACCTGGGTTCATGCTAATCAATGCCTTGACTAGCACTTTAAAAGCAATCTGGAGACACAAAAAAAGGGTATTTTCATTTCTAACTCTTCAAAAGGATCGACTATTAGTTTAAAAAAACAATCATTATTAAGCAAATTTCCCAGACAAAATGATTAATGTAAACCTATTGTAAACCCCACGATCTCAACTGGGTTGCTTTCACCTTCCAACAGAAACATAATATTCAAACTTCAATGAAAGAATCCAATACTTGATTGATTCATTGAAATCTTGGTGACATTCAACAAGTTCAGGATTGGAATGTTTGTACGCACGTGCTTTGGTTTTGTCTGTGTCTGCTGCTTATAAAATTAAGAAGAGATATGGGATATTTTGTTTTATATGTAAACAACTTTGAAAGGGAAACAAATGGCGGAGAACAAACTTCAACGAAAAATGAATATTTCTGCTAAATAATTTCACTCAACGAGAGGAGTTAAAAGGTACTAACAGTTTTGGTTTCATCTTGAATGAAAATAGGCTTGTCATCTCTCCATTTATTCATTGCTTGTTGGACATAAGTTTGCATGTCTCGAGTGATCTGATGTTTGAGATTTGGAGACTTGAAGAAGGATCCTATAAGACCATGGATTTTCCTTTGTAAGCTCCCATTGATCAGAAGAATGGAGGATTCCCCCATCAACTCGGTTAATGATTTCGGATAAAAGGGCACGAAAGCCCTGGCATCACTTTGTAGAACGAAACGGTTAACTTCTGCATCTGTTGAAACTATTGTCGGGGTCCCGAATATGTGTGACTTGAACACGTTGCCATACCTACAATAATCCTTAATCAGTAATAAAAGTTGACCAATACCTTCATATTGAATGGAAAGAAAAACCCTATAATCTGTTTAGCAAGATAACAAGGTAAGGACAAGAGAAATGTTTACATGCGGCGACGACGGTTGATGAAGCTCTCGGGGCGGTCGGAGTAAGCACAAGAAATGAAGTCGATGGTTTCTCCGACGAGAGGCCACCCGAGGGTTCCTAGAGGAAGCTGGCATAAGGTTTTGGATCTTAGACTGCTCAACTTGCTTCTGCTTTTGCCACGGAGAAATATGATGCAAAACACAAGTGTTGTCACCAACACGATAATCCACATTAATGACCTGATCATCTCCATCATTGATGATTCTTTCTTTCTTTTCTGCTCTCTTACTTTCCTTCTCGCACGCTTGCCCTATCTCTCTCTTAAATACCATTAAACAATTTATAATCTAAGAGAATCTAAAGAATAAAAATGAACAATTTGATGAACCGATCAAATATATTCGATCATGAAATTACAATGTTCGGTGCTTAGTTAAAGTTGTTGCGGAAGACGGCTATCGGATAGAGCAAAATCGTAACTGATAATTTGAGAAATTAAAAATGAAGATAAAAGAGACACAAAATTTACGTGAAAAACCCCTAAAAATTTAGGGTAAAAACCACGGGCAACGGTAGAAGAATTTCACTATGAGAAAATAGAAATTACAACCTCTCTCGATCTACCAAGGAGAAAACAATGATAATTCTCTCTAGATAAAAAAGAGAAAACAACTCTCAAGAAACTCTCTAAAATCTCTCTAGTATTGGAAGAAAGCTAGAATGCTTTGGGATGATTTTGAAGCTAAATGAGCTAGGGTATTTATAGTTGAAGCTTAAGGACTAATCTTATAAATACCCTAAATTTTAGTGACTAAATTGTAATGTTCCCATTTATCAATTTTCCACAATTGCTGCTCCACCGAATTAAGCATGTGCACCGAAATTTTTGCTTGATTTTTTTCAATATGTTTGGCCACTTTACTTGACTTTTCAACAATCTCCCACTTGAAGATTTGATTAGAACAATCATATCCGAAATTTTTGCTGATTTTTTTCAATATGTTTGGCCACTTTACTTGACTTTTCAACAATCTCCCACTTGAAGATTTGATTAGAACAATCATATCTTCACACCATTCTTTCTACCTTGTACCTTCATGTTGCTTACGTTTCTGACAGGCCACAAGAGGATCGACACCAGGTAAATTTATCAGCATTGATCGCCTTCGTCATGAAATCTGCTATGTTGTCTTTGGTATGGATCTTCTGCATATCTATCGTCCCTTCTTCCACATTTTCACGAATGAAATGGTACTGAACTCGTATGTGCTTTGTCCTTGAATGAAATGTTGGATTCCTTACTAGATGCAAGGCGCTTTGACTGTCACAAAATAGAGAGACATACTCTTGATTGTGCCCAAGCTCCTCCAATAGCATCTTCAACCAAATTGCTTCTTTACTGGCTTGTGTAGCTGCTACATATTCTGCCTCTGTTGTGGATGTAGCCACAACTGACTGTAATTTTAAAACACAACTTACAGCTCCACCAGCAACTTTGAACACATATCCTGTAGTAGATTTGCTTTTATCCAAATCCCCTGCATAGTCAGAATCTACATACCCATTGATTAGTAAGTTTGATCCTCCGTAACATAATGCAACATTTGAGGTCCCTTTGATGTATCTCAGGATCCTCTTTACTGTATTCCAATTCTCTTTGTCTGGATTCGCCATGTACCAACTAACCACTCCCACTGCTTGTGCAATGTCTGGTCTTGTGCATATCATAGCGAACATTAAGCTTCCCACTGCTGATGCATACGGTACTCGAGACATCTTCATCCTCTCTTCTTCAGTGCTAGGACTCATACTGGA